TCAACCATGTTATTCTTCTTCAAAAAGTAATATTAATAATAAATTATCAGTTTGAGTTTGATTTGACAATAGAACTTTGACTTTAAATTGTATCAGACAAAGCATAAACATATATGTCCCCAAAATGTTCATTATAAGAGCACATAATGCGACAGAGGTGCATGCTCACCCGCATTAGTTCGATACTGTTTGGGAGCAAAAGCTTATACACTCAAAGTGTCATGAATACTCTGCAATTCAACTGGGATCTGATGAATGATATATATAAAGTTAGGAAGATTACAACACTACTTAAAAAAACGATTTATGTATTACCGGAGTAGCATACAATAGTTGATGTTTGTGATGTTATGATAAATTTTGATGTCATCAGCATATAATAGGTCATTTGTATTTCGAATAGTTTACTACATCATTTATGAAAAGAATAAAAAGCAAAGGGCCTAAAATCGATTCCCAGAAGAGAGTAAAATTTTGTTGAGCAAAGTGAATCCATTGATAACTACTTTCTGAGTATGGTTTGTGACGTAAGAGCAAAATTTAAAAGTCATGTTTTGTAAAAGTATAGTATGATCCATCTTATCAAATGCTTTAAAAAAATCCATGTAAATCACATTCACCCTGCAAAATATGGACCAATTTTCAAAATGCCTGGTCGAGTATGTTACCAGTTTACTGAGAGTGGATCGATCCTTCACAAATCCATGAGGTCCAGGTATGATAACACTATGAAGACTGGACTAAATAGGATTGTGGATGCTCCAAAATTTTAGATATAGTGGAAACAGTGTAACAAAATAGGCAGATAGTTTGTAACGTCATTCCTCAGTCTTCTTCCTTGTATTTCTATTTACAAATGGTCAAAAATGCCAAAAATCTTTCTGTAAACCAGTCTCAATAGAATAACGCTTGAAATACTCCGAAGAAAGATGTTTGAATGTTTTTGTGAATAAAGAAAATTTTCATCAAATTTTATATATTTTTAAACATTTTCCATGTGATCCAAGCGCGTTGTTTATTTTTAAATGATGTATTAAGGGGCATGAAAACCAAACAGGAAACTAATTCTGCTTTACAGGACGCAATGGAAAATTATATTTTGTAATTTTATAAATTTCGTCGTAAAAAACATTCGTAGCTGAATGAATGGTATGACTTCAACAATTGTACCCAGTCAGCATCATTTGTGGCGTTATTTATTTCGATATATTTACCTTGGAAAAAACAATATCTGCATTCAGTAGACCGAGTGAGAGACTTTAGAGGAGCATCGTTTTAAACCAGCACAACTAAAGGGGGATCAATTGGTAATAAGTAGTGGTAGAACATGTATATGGTGGTTCACATGTACATGTTCTATCACTTGATAAAAAGAGATCTAGCTTTCTATTCATACTATTTCGTAAGCTAATATTGATTGCAATTTAAAATTGATATAAAGTTCATTAAGGTGCTTTGGTGGGAGTATGGAAACTGGAATCAAGTGTTGAACCTTTAAATTAAAATAACCTTAAACATAAACGTTCCTTACTGTGTGCATAAATATCACAGCGTGTGGGGTATTGAATATTTTTATATAACTACCAGGAGGCATGCACAGAACACACAACATATAGTATTCTTTTTTAACAATACAAAAGAGTTTGAATACCACGTAGTCAGCATACCCAGGCATACCATTTGAACAAACATCTGAACCTGTGACATCTGTACAAGCGATTATACCCCATAACTGATCGTGTTAAACTTTAACTTAGATCGCAGAAGCTTAACCTCTTACAGCAACATGACGTGCTGCCGTGTGTACTCCTCAGAAAATGTGTAACTTGCGAATGATAATGATTGATCATTTGTTTTTCACATCACACACACACACACACACACACACACACACACGCACGCACACGCACACGCACACGCACACGCACACACACACACACACACACACACACACACACACACACACACACACACACACACACACACACACACACACACCACATAAAAGTGGCGAGCGAGAGATCGTATACCGATTACTGTTATTATATACACATACATACGTCGCGATGGTCTGGATTGTCCCGATCCAGCTCGGCAGTCGACATCGGTTAAGCTGCCTACGAATGAATGCGTTTATTTTGCTACACGTTGATTAGGTATATCCGGGTCGCAGTAAAGTCGATCTGTGTCCCGATTATGTCACATTTTGAAATGTTTTCCCAAATATTTTAGTCTTCCCACTTGACAGCACCAGCACTATTTTAGGGTTCCGTACCCAAAAGGTAAAACGACTAAGACTGCTGGCTGTCCGTCTGTCACCAGGCCATATCTCATGAACCGTGAAAGTTAGACAGGTGAAATTTTCACAGATGATGTATTTCTGTAACCGCTTCAAACACAAATAGTAAAAACCAGAATAAAATGAAAAATTAAGGGGGCTCATTGTGTGGACAAAAAACGTGTTTTCTTTTTAAAGCGCGTGACCTACTCTTGACGGACTGTAAAAATATGAACCAGTCGTTACAGCAACAGCACAAACACTGTTAACACGACACAGACCTCATGGTGCACCACATAGATGTGTACGTGACAAACCAATGGTATTTACAGATTTTTATATCAAAATTGTTTTAAACTTATTAACCATATTTGTATGCCGTTAACAAACCTATGTAATGGTAAATAACTTCAAATTCACACTGTAGATCGATTTTGATTTTGAAACAAAACAGAAGAATAAACAGCCCCCGCTGGGTGGATTGCAAAGTGTACTGCCGCGGCGGTGGTAGCCGATACTCGCGAGACAAACAAATAATAATATATAAGAATAAGAATGGTGTCATTTTAAGACTTATTAAGTGCCAGCCTTGTTACACTGTATTAGACAATATTAATTTTTGATAGATTTGTGTCGGTCGGTTTGTCATAGAAGGAGATGAGAGTGCTTTATATTTTAAAATCGTCTAAGCAAAGGCATATTATTCCTATCTAATATCAAACGAGAATGTCTGATTGCTGTTATTATTTATTTATTTAAGGTATAGTCAACAGCACGTCAGGTTACACAACATTGTGAAATTCGCCTACGTGATTTTAAACCTTGATGCGTTGTAGGTTGAATTTGACATATAGTGGTAACCTGATGTGCGGCCGTGTGTACATTATGAAAATGATAATAAAATCATTGTAAAAGACTCGCCGATGCGAATTTATTTAGTTTTGAATGTAAATGTCTTTATGCGTCATACGTCATAATAAACAAACATACAATATGAAGTATGCAACGTAACGAGTAGAAGTTTGTTTTCTAAGGAACTCCAGCTGAGCCTCCGCGTGTGCGGCACGTTGCTGCGACACGATCACGCGGTGACCTTCGCGTTGTTTAATCATAAAGTGTGTTACATTCAGTGCAAACTGAATAACTACAGGCGCTTGAACGTAAAGACGCCCTCAAAGAGCGCCTGGAACAATAAATCCAAATGGACCGTAGTTTGCAATGAGACAACTTTGTTAAACAAATACTTATTTCTGAAATCTTTATGTCGTGCAAAATGCCATCATATGTAGGTATGTCTTTAATATCTATCGTATCTTTCGTTCTTTTTTTGTATTCGTCTATGCGCAGTTTCACGAGTGCGATCGTATATCCTACCTACCTACCTACCAACATGCCAAACAGATCTAATCGTCTTTATCCTGTTAAAAGGTTCGTTTTGTATTATTATAATAATGATGTTCGTTCACATTGTGAAGTATCCATAGAAAATAGTTTATTCATGTCTAGTACGACATTATCCAGACCGAGACACGGACTCGCCCTATATATAGATGACAATAGGCAAGGTCATATTTATCAACACTGTTTTCAATGAATTACTTTTATAACCAACTCTGTGGTGTAGTGGTTAGCGATGTTCAGTGGAACTTTACTCAGGTCCGGGGCGTATCTGTGATAGTTGAGCTCAAGTAATTTTATCCATCACCTATGACCAATAAAGGTTGATCATCGCACCATTGAACCGAGACCTCACATGTACCTACATATACAAACTGTGACACTGACGTCTGCTCGTCCGCTCTTGGGCCTCCACACTAGACAACAAACAAAATATGGTAAATATTTCTGAACGCTTCGATTAAGACTGTTTTGTATTATTTATAGTTTCCCTCGTGGGCAATCCCTTCCTCATAACGCTCTTGACACACGCAATTGCGACTTCCTTTGTCTTGTCGTGTGACACACATAAATTGTTTGTTATTAATAACTTTATCTCTGTTTGCATACAGCAACAGTGCTGTTGATATGTCCGAAGGGTACTGGCGTTATTAATAGTATCTTTTTTTTCTGCCGTTATAACTTATGAGCATTAGCTCCGTTAAATATCGTACCTATTGCGTAATGGCTTGTTTACTTGGTTGCACTGCGATTGTTAATCTAGGCTCGATGAGTGCCATTATCTATGATGAGTGTTTGCTCTAGTGTTTATCGCGCTCGTTGGTGGCTACTGAATGAGTATAGGCAGTTTATCAGTTTATTGGGGGTCTTGGATATACTTTACTGATTAAGTTTAAATTTATCACACGGCATATGGTATGCACCAATCTTTATTGACTGCTGCTAATTTGTAGTTCTTCTTCTGTCTTTTTTGGTAATTTTCTGCTAAACTGTATCTGCGGACTATTAATGTCAATTATAAAATTCCTTTATTGCACTCTTATAATTTATAGCAAATTCGTATATTTATAGACTCAGTCGGGCGCGATGTCGTGTGACATATCGAATGTCACTTTCACTGTATCGCACTGAAGACCTGGGTTCGTTTATTACCTCAAACTTAAAAATTTTCATATTTTTGTTATTATTTTTTCAGTTTTAAGTAAAAAACAAAAATTAGTAGCACCCTTGCCAAGGCGAAATGATTTTATTGTAAATAACTCCTCTGCAGTCGTCCTCTATTCTGGTGTAATCGAGCTTTTTACTCCGCAGGCTGACTTCCAAAATGAGTAAGCTGTGCAGGCAGGTGTCCATCGAGTCGCCGGGGCCCACCCTCAAGGAGTGTGTGTTCAGTTTCGACGTGCCCGTACCTGACGTACCGTTGTACGGCGCTCGTATACGTGTCGTGTACGCGGGCGCCTGCTACAGGGCACACAGGACACGCTCGGCGTCTGTGTGCAGCACCTCCTCAGTCTCATCCGTCGGCAGCCTGTCAGGCGAGATGGAGAGCTTCGGGATCCATGCGGCGACACCTGCGCATATAGGATTAAGAGACGGCGCTCTATTCCCGGGATACGAGGTGGCCGGCGTCGTGGATGCGGTCGGAAAAGCCGCCGATTGTCCCCCGGACATCAAAGAAGGCACCAGGATCGTTCTGTATCCTTACGAGGGCGTGCCTCACGGCTACGCAGACTATATAGTGGTGCCTGACTTCAAGTGTTTAGTGCCGGTACCGGAACAGCTGCCTCTGAGTGTGGCGGCCATGTTGCCCACTGGAGCGTTGCTGGCTATGAACACAGTGTTCACAGCGGGGGAGTGCCTCAAGACAGTGTTGGAAGGGCCTAATCATAAAGATAAAGCCACCATATTGATCGTGGGCACCGGCGGCCTGGCGCTGTGGGCACTGCGCATCGCGACTAACTACTTCAAACACGGACCCTACCATGACAAGATTACCATCACCGTCGCCACACTCAAGGATGAAGGGTTCATTCTGGCTAAGGAGAGTGATCAGTGAGTTTCTCTTTGTCTAATTAACTCATTGCATTTAAATTTGTATGTGTAAAAGGTTTATTAACAGATACTATGGCCATCATTAGGGAAGGCCCGTGAAGGTCTCCAGAAGTGTAGACATTATCATCAACATGATATCTGATATAGCTTCCACGGCATTTTCTTCCATTTACACAGGACGTTAATGGGCAGATGATGATGTGCGATGTGTGTAGGATCAAAGTGGTGCAATGGAACGAGGATCTGTACGAGAAGCAGCTGATCGAGCGCACGACGGACGCGTGCGGGGGCAGGGTGGACGTGGTGATGAACTTCGGCACCACGTCGCGCTCCCTGCACCGGTCCCTGCAGTGTCTCGCACAGGTGTGAGACATAACATGTGACACTCTTATAGGCTCCAGACTAGTATGTATTAATTGCCATCGCTGGCTGCCATCAGACGGAATGCACTTCAGCAACCGTGTCACCGTATGACGTCGAAGTTGCGACTGTGTGCAGTTCAATATGTCAATTAGGCGCTGCAGTCTGTATGCCTGATGGCGGGCACTCTTGTAAATTCTCGTGTTTAAGTATTTAAAGGTAAAGGTACATACTTATAAGAAATGAAAGGACATATTCCACCTACCTACCTACCTACATATTCCATAGCATAAATAGATAGATAGATATCTGTAACAGAATAGGCAATGTTAACGGTCAGGGTGGTGTGGTGTTGGTGACGGAGGATGTCGGGGAGAAGCTGCTGCCCAAGTTCGCCAAGAAGGCGGAGGAGATGAGCGTCCACATCGTGGTGGTGCCTAACGGGTCCATCGACCAGCTGCGGGAACTGGTGCACCTGGTGGCCAGGGGAGAAGTGAGTACATTCAATTCTTACATATGCGACAACAGTTTTAACATGTGCACAAAGTTTAATGTCCTATTTCGTGTGTGTAAATTATAATACACGTTTGTTTTCATTTCTTTTTTAACCCAATGACGTCGGAGACACCGACGAAAATAGGTTTCTATAATCATTGTGCTACTTCTGATCTTTTGATTTTACATTGAAATATAAAATTACAATTGCTTTGTCGTATACATGTTGATATATGACTGGAAAACTTATCATAAATCTAGTGATGGACCGAATACTACGAATGCGAATCTAATAACTAAATCTTACTAATATTATTAATGCGAAAGTTCGTGAGGATATATGAATGTTTGTTATTCTATCATGCAACTATTGAACGGATTTTGATAAAATATGACGTACGGTTAGCCGTATGGGGGTTTTATCCCACTGACGCGGTTCCTTAGGAACCATGTCAGTGAAACCGCTGGCAGAAAACTACTCTTAGTAAGGTGAATAAAAATACAAAATATCCTTTATTACTACAAATAGATTCAGTACATTCCACTGATTATATTTTGATGAAAAAGCACAGCATTTGTAAAATAAATGTTAACACTGCCACCCGGGCAATACAGGTATAATGTCCATTTGTGTTGACAAGATGCTTTATCATTTGTCGCAGTCTGGTAATGGAGAAATTATGGCAATAGTGTGCAAATGCCTTAGCGTAAATGTACATAGTGCACACTGTATTTATTTCAACAGTTTTTCAATGTATAATTTTGGATGTTCGCGATGACGCTGCGTGAATATCAATATTTGTTTTTGTGCCATCGTTTAATGACACTGTATGTTTGGTATTAAACACGTTAATTTCTAAAACCGTGTGAAAACACAGCAAAGGATCTCCATGACTTAATCCCAGTCCTGTACCATCATCGGAGTATGCACAAGACGCACGCTGGCCACACTGTCGTTATTCGGTACCTGAAGTTATTTATTGTAAAATCAATGTACACGACAGGACAGCGGTATCGTTATGAATTGTTGTTATTGCCCGATAATATTTATTAGTTATTGTAGATATCGGTTCAATATCGAAGTTTTCCGTGTTTCTGCTCTAAATCAATGTTTCGATAATTTTTTATCATAATACGCTGTTGAATTTTTACCAAGAGGTTAAATTTTCAGAAATCCTTAAACACTTTATTCTTAATATCAAACCGTAAAATTGACAAGTCCCTTCCTCGGGGGCCAAGTCACCTACGCTGCACAAATATGGGTTAATGTTGTCTTGTAGGTAAATTTTTTAATATCACTTAAAAATGTCTGATGTGAAAAAGAATGAAGTTTGTTAATGTACATAGTGACGTAACATGTCCACAGTGCGTCAATTACACCCCAGTTAAAGTAACAAACCGGTTGACCCGTGGACAGGCGGGCAGACCGTCGTGCGTATTTCTTTATTAGTGGCGACTCATCGCTAACGATCGTTGATTGAAAGCACGTGTCCCACAGCTTTCGACAGCTTCAATTGACTTGTTTTAAAATAATTTACGCATCTGCGTCGATTATTTGTTTGTTACCGCGCGCTCGCTGTGTTCGTCACCTGACGCAGACTCCCACAAACGCAGTGTCATTTTTTTTCACAGCGTCACGTACCAATAGAATTTAACAATTTTTTTATTGACATTATGCTCGATACGACTTTAATAATTCGGGACCACTTTGCGAAATAGATAAAGCAGCTAAAGAGTGTAATTTGCGAAGTCTCTTTTCGAAATTTCTGGTACTAATGTATCGTGTACCGTGTGCCTGTCGGCATTGATTCCTTCATTGCTACATTGGTTGTCTGAATGAATGAATGCAATTTCATGTAAATATATGTATGTATATTTAAGATCGAGCCTCCACCACATTCGGTGTTCCCCGCTGAGGAGGCGCAGGAGGTGGTCAGGAAACTGTGCAACTCCGAGATCCAGGGGCGCGCCATACTCAAGTTCCACAACGTCGACTAGACGACGACGGCCCCGCACGTGCGGTCGGTAGTACAGTGCCACAGTACTACAGTACTACAGTGCCACAGTACGAGGCTCGACCGGGTCGGAGCCGCGCACGCCGTCGGCTGTTCAAAGTTAACTTCAAATAATCTCACAAACGTTATTTGTGATTAAATTTCAACGGGCCGGCGGCGAGCGAGAGTGGTGTACGACCGGAGCGATTCGCCGATTCGCTTTTAACTTTAAGGTCTCAACTCTGTGTTTTATTTAATGAAAAATCTATGTGCTATATTATAAAGAACACGCCCCCCTGTGGCAGACGGCGGTCCGTAGACAGCGACCTATCTCGTATGATTCACGTTTGTCAGTAGATTTCTATGACAATCCTAAATAAAAAATTGTACAGCCAACGGCGTATCAAACTTGTGACCAAAACCGTCAGTCCCTATTCTAAACGTTAGTGTTTAGAAATTAAAATTGTAAATGTGTTGCACAAATTGGACAGTATCTGGCAGTTAGATACGCTGCTGTATATACATAGGTATATATGCAGATGCGATCGATCATTATGTTAGTACATAATACTACTAGGTTAGATAATGCATATCGCATCAATAAAACCAATACAAAATAACACATATTTCTTATTTGTTTTAAGTATAAAAATATCATAATATACACCGATAATATAATAAGGTTTATAAAATATTGTTCTATCTGCATATGTAGTGTTTTGTTTATGTTTTGTTTACATCAATTTGATTGGAATTGGAATGTATGAATCACATTAATTAGATTAGCTCATCGATCACATACATATACCTAATTATATATCAATTTAAACGAGCAAGATTATAATCTTTTCTATATATTCGAATAAGGATTAGATCTGACTATAAATAGTTAAAGCTTATTCACATATTTGTATGTGATATCTATAACGAAAACAATTAATAATATGTAGATGATAATTTTCAATATTATTATGAGAATCCAGCAGCCAGTTGCACAAACGTCCATTAAAATTGTCATTAGTACGATACAAATTTGACATTCGTTAGACGTCAAAGGCGTCATTAAACCTTAATGGACGTTTGTGCAACTCACCGTAGGAGAGTTAATTATATAAATGAAGGTACACATGTTTTGATATCACATGATTATTAGATCTGTAGAATAGCGGGTACGATTTTTAACTTAGTTTGAGTTGTTTGTCGGGGTTTTTATATATTTTTAAAGGCTGGTTTCGTTTGGGAGAAGTTTTTAAACATTATTTTGTGTACAATGGAAAGAGTAAATAATTTGTTATAAACGTTATTTACCTAATAAACCGGTCGCTCGCTCGCTGACTGAACAACACGAGTCACGTGAGCAGCGCGTGCCGCGTTATCAGGTCACCGGTCACCGGCCTACCTCCGAAGCCACAATAACCTCCGTGTTGGTATTTTATGTACAGTATACAATATTCACTTACTACACACTGCACACTATTGAGTAGCTCTTAAAAACTCCACAAAGTACAAACTTTTTCTAAATCAAAATGACTATTCTTCTATATGCCTTTATAGAATATGATCCAACGAATCGACAGCAGCCTACCTCAGATTAAATAACCGAAATGTAGCGATAATTCATTGATATAAATAAACAATGACGCATCTGAATTTGTTTGACATGACATGTTGACTACGTGGGATATTTTAACAAATCGGGAATATATTATGTATATGTAAACTTAACATAATTTAAAACTTACTAAACTCTAAAATTATACAGAGACGCGGTTGAATATTTTGGCATATAACACGAACTAACAAACTACATACATTATGTCACGTGCGGTGTTATACTGTGAACAATGTCACGCGTTATCATTGTTAACTTCCATCTGTACCTTTATGTGTGTGTATGTGTATGTATTAATGTAACATTGTCAAAGGTCATTGTCATCTCTCATTATTTATTGTTAATGGCATGCCGACTAGGCGACCTTGTCACGCGAATGGTTGTTCGATTAACTTAAGAAAGCATCACTTTTTTTTTGACGAGAATAGCTTTTTGCGAAGGTGCAAATGATTCGGTTCATATACACCAGCCAGAGTGCTTTTATATTAGTCGATGTCTTCGTGTGTCGATCGATTGCTTATTGTAATAAAACGTTGTTTGATATCAGATATGTTAGTTTTATATAAAACTGCTAATAAAGTGTCGTTGGATGTCGTCGGTTTGATATTACAACGGTCTGCAAGCGATTCGTGCTATAACGAACAACGATTAGCTTGTTCACAAATATGCTCAAACGAAGTTACGTCGTGTGGTATGTGCAGATGTTCATATATATATATAACTTGTAACAATATACGATTCTGTCTGTTAGCACGCGCCCGTCCTGAATACATACAAAGTTCCTAAGGAAATTTGACACATATTTCATTATAAAACTGTTTGTATTTCTTCAATTGTTCTTGTTACTTTGAAATATTATCCATTATTATAGATATCAGTGAATATTTTATGCTTTAAGTGTATTAGAGTGAATTATTAATTAATAATGCTATGTGTAATATTAATAAGTATGTTTGGTGCAGATATTAATGAAAAATGTATAATAATATAATGGCATCAAGTTTACTTTTTTATATCATTTATTTTTGGTATGTCATAATAACATAGCAATCGTCTATAAAGTTTGCATTATTTTACTAAAACTTATGAAAGGTTAGGTATTTTTATTATCTAAATTTTATTATTATTAGGCCTAAAAACTTATCAAATCAAATTATTATATCGGTCCCGTTTATCAAAATTGTTATTTCTTTGTTCTTCTCGTAGAAATAGTATGCCATCTTTTTAAGTCTAGTCAAGGTTCGAGTTAGTTTATAATTGTATTATTATAATTTGCCGCGAGGCGGTGATGTAAGTCGATGTTTCATGAAACGTGTTATATTTTTTAAATGTGTACTTTTATCGAATAAATGATATGATGTTGGTTATTTCCATGTTTTTATTGTGAATTCTACACGGGAAATTCGTGTTCGGAACAGTTCGCTCCGACATAGAAACACCCTTTATATAAAAAAAAGTGATATTAACTAACGAGCGGCAGCGTCGACGTCATCAATAGCCGGTGTTGTGGTTGACGGCTCTTAGTTTTTTGAACAAGTAAAGCGACTTGATGTTCTTCGTGTTCATGTCCGGTGGCAGTTGAGGTTTCGGCTTGACCCAATCTTTGGTGCCCCACACCTCGACGACGGACCTGATCTCCTGGTTAGACTGAGACTCGAGAACTATCAGCACGGAGGGGGTGCCGACGCCGCCGCTCTTTATGGACGCGCTCGCGCCGCATGTCCTGCGCGCCATGTTGTCTACGTGAATGTATTTGATAGTGTGACCGGGGAAGTAGTTCTCGTACACGTATATTTGCCCCTGGCTGATCGTGACCGGCTGGTTCTCGACGACCGCCGAGTCGAGGTGTTTGAGGTCGTACCGCCACTCGCCCACCTCCAGCGGCATCTTGGTCTTCTCGCAGAACATCCGCGCCTCGCCCACCGCCCACACCACCGCGAACAGTATTATCTCCATACGTGACGCCACACCACTCATCTGTGCCACCTGTATCGTACATATCGCGACCGCACAATGTGTACGATACTTTTTTTTTTCTCAAATTAGTCTTGTACGCGTTGGAAAAAATGGAAAAAAATCTATATTCGGTTCTAGCGAGGTTCTGTACAGTTAAGTTTACATTATCAGACGAAAGTATTTTATGGTAGTTCCTTCGAATTTACACAGCGCGGGCTCGGAGAGCCCTGGTGCAAATCTTCAGGTGCATGTATCATTGCTGACCGAGTTATACTAGATCTAAGGTAATGCAATCGAAAATTACTGCGCATTTAAATGAAGTGGAAAATTGAGACATATATATATTTTTGTTATTTCATCATCAGAACTGGGACAGAACGTACACAAAAATGCAATATTAGCTTGTGTGCGGGAAACAAGTAACGAAACATGAGATTGTTGTACCGTACCCAGGTGAGAGTACCATCTGGTGATTGTTTCTAAAGGAAACAACAAGAAAGAGCATTCATCGATGCCAATATATTTACATAACAATTTTCATTGTCTGCTATCGACGAACATTGTTCACCGATTATGTACCCGTCGTAGTAGAGTCCTGTCGCGGGTATCGCAGCGGATAGCAAGTCGAACACTCGTACGTAAACGCTTTCATCGTGTCGTTCAAAGTTGAAACAAACTCCCGTCTATGCGTCTCAAGAAAAAAAAATTGAGATTTTTTGACCTTCACTAGGGACATATTTGTTTGAAATAAACTAATAGACAAATAGTCACGGGTTCTAGTCGAGGTTAGATTTTTAAGATGGGACAGGAAGAGCAAATACCTAAACCTTTAGGGATCTTCTGTTTATTACTAATGACGATTGTTGATAGTTTTGGATCCCCTGTATGCAAGAAGAAATAGGAGTCGTTTAAATTAAACTAGTCAAACAAAGTTTAAAGCATCAGTTACAAGACGGTTTTTAGGATTATTCTTTTGTCAAGAATTACATGAGATAGACAAAACTCAGTAGTAATTGGTGTGGAAAAATTGGTTACATTTATTATGCTGTGCACCTTATACTGGGTAAAATATGAGATTCATATGAAGGCCCAGCCCACTGCCAAGTCAGCTTGCTACATTTCACATTAGTCTGCCGCCGGATGATCTCATCCGGATTTTATCCCTTAGAGAGACTCCGAGTATACATTAATCATTTGTGTTTAAATAATATTATGTTTTTGATCACAATAGCAAATTACATACTTCTTTTTAGGCGTCGTGTTAAAAATGGTAACGTTTTGCAATAAAAAAGATATCGGTTAACTTTTCATTTTTCAAGTTTTTGGATCATATTTTCTAGTATTCATACCATACCTTAAATAGTCTTAGTTTTTTTGATCCCCACATTTTATTGCTCTACATTTTTTTCCAATACAGATTAGTTGCGGCCGGTGTGCGAGGAACGTGTTCAGGTTATTATAATAGTAAGGGTCCCTTCTGCCCCGTTTCAAAAACCCACCCTGTACAGACGCACGATAATAAATAAAGCTCACGAGGTACGACGACACCATTTATTTGTAAAATCAAAGTTGGTCCCTATTATTAAGTGTACACTGTCCAACTTAACTAGAGGTGAAATTTCCAAATTATTCATACTTGCACTGTCCATTTCACCGCTCGAGTGATCGCGGGAAATCATCGCAGGGCAGGCGAATATTTCGAACCATATCAATATACCATGGAAATAGGCATATTTTTTCATTTTCATTCAATCTTTGGTGTATAACTACGAGTCCAAAGTATGCAAACGTTTTCTTATCATTCTTTTATTTACGAAAAATACGTCAAAACAATTACAAAGTAACTTTAAGGCAATAACATATTTTTTTTATATACATAATATCACCTATGTTCATATAAAATATCTTAACTAATTCATCTATGGTACAGCCATCAATTCAACCATCGCAATGAATGACCTCGACGACTATTGTAAGTTAACATTATTCAATCCAATATATCGTACAATTTCATATTTACGATATGAATCGGTTCATTACAAGACACAATCCACCCGGCACTGTGTGCTACGCTCGATGCCGGCCCGCACGATTAATGTGATGAACACGCTTTTGCTGGGGTCAGTCTGCACTTGTGACAAGTTAACAGATCCTAAGATTTCTATTGAACGCATCTTCGATTTGAAGCAATACATTATAATAATTATCGAATTTAATTTTAATGAGTTCAGTTTGATCTAATATTTCGTCGTATCGCTCTTCAAATACAATGTCTTTTTTGAGTGCTCATATATTAATTCGAGACTTAAAGTTATTTCTTACTTAAAATTATATCGGAGCTATAAACCACATGAAAATCGGAACAATCAAAATAAATGATTTGCTTGCGCGCGCGCATTCACTACAATTTATTAACTGAACAATAAGATCCAAGCGCAAACGCACTAACGAGTATTCAACTTGCATCTGAACAATGAACCGACCGAATATACTTCATACAAATAGAGAATCTGATGAGCAAACCATAGAGTTGCACGAAGCATTTATAATGCCGAAATAATCTGCAACTTATATATAAACCTAAAAAAGTTCCCTTAATTTGATATTGCATAATATAAAATTGTTACCAGATACAAATATTTATATTTATACAGTAAGCTGCCTGTCATACGATTCATTAAATATATATTAAAAATCAAAGAAAGTCCAAAGTGTATACACACTAAAATATTAATTAAAAAAGCACAAACGTCACATTATATAATATTTGTCCGTCGTCATTGTCGTCTGTGGCGTGCGCATTACAATATCTCATTATCAGCTACCGTTAGATATCAATAAAACATACACAGATTCTTTAAAACAATACATTATAATCGATCTTAAGATTCTGTACAAAGATCTATATGGACAGATTTTGAGATTTCCATTATAATTATCATTACATTATTATTACATAAATATCTAAAAAATACAAAAAAATATTATCACACACCTGGATATAAATCGAACATTGAAAACAAAATCTCACTTCATTATTAGCTAACATAATGAATGTTACGACGCCATCGTTCAGTTCGTACCGAACACATTCTATCCAAGCCGATCACAACGGTCCGACAGTGTCACAGAGCTGCCGTTATATCGCTTGCCCTCCGGTTGCGTTATTCAGTTTTTATTATATTCAGATATCAGACAGACCGGGAATGTGTATTAATATTACGATTAAGATAGTGTATAATTGACTTCAGTGTGGGACGGACGTAATATAAAGGCACTTTGGATACACAACAGATACAGATACAGGCAGATGTCACAATCCTCACTGTCGCTAGTTAGCTAAGTCTTAACGTTTTATTATTATTGCTAAATTTGTACATAAACTTCTATAAATCGGATAATATAATAATATTTTCTTAGAAGCTCCTTGTTATATACCAAATTTAATTACATTGGATTTAAGTAAAAACGTCTAAATTTTTTTTTAAGCAACAAGCCGATTAAATACTAGAGATCAACATTCCGTTTTGCAATATTGAAACGGTGCACGCGATCCCTCGTCGTATATCAAATAAAAGAAAGCTTTTATATTATCATGACACGACGGCGGCGCGTTACTCGCTCGCTCACCTCAGAGCGTCCGTCGCGAAGGATATTGCGCTCATCACACGCACACACACACGCGTACACACACACGTACACACACACAGATTGCCCGTTGCCAATATTGCAGTGCGCAATAAGCGTACGTCATGCTGATCGACGACACCCCCGGCCGGTGAGTAGGTACATTGATTTACTCGCGGACACAATAACATGGATAAGCACTCAACTGAATACTGTTGAATGCTTATCCATGTTGAAAGCAACGTATACCCATTATTCAATGTATTCATATTGGATCCCAGTCCATGCTTTTAAATCAGAACAATTTTTGAACAATTTTTCCATAATATTATATCACATTGATATGTATACTTCAGATAAATTCAATCTACCTACTCTCACCGCTGATCATGTTATTAAAACATTACCGTTATTATAAATGTTATAACTTACATTCGATATATTTTCTTCGATAACGTATAATATCTATGAAGGCACAAGTGTCGATCTTGTTCTATCGTCTCTTTCTACTGTTAGGTAACGAGGGAGACGGCAGATATTTATATATAAAAAGCTCGTAGCACATAGGCAAATTGATATGTCATAATATGCGAGAGTATACCTTTAGGGCTCATATTACACTACACGGGACGGCAATCGTTATTCACATACGATAATTTAATTCGGTGTAATTCGCATGAATGCTATAAATTATACACTTTCAAATTAGTTTAAAGATGTACTCCGGCATACTGTTTACAATTTATATCCAAACACAACGTGGTGGTGCCGACGAAGGGCCCTGAGATATGAATGTCCGTGTGCTGATGACAAAATGAAAGTTAGTTGTTTTCGAGTACTAGTGATATTCTTAGGCACCATTTCAAATAGTATTTGAGCATTGTCTGAATGTACTCTGATCGTCAGCATTTGGTCGAGAGTTGCCTGTGATAGTACAAGTGGCCACAGGTCCTGTACGCATCAGGCGAGACGGTGCGAAAGTAATTCCATTGTATAACACAATAAGTCGTCGTTTATATAACATTGATCGCGTCAATATTACAAGTTCACTGACAGAAAGTCGAGAAATTCATTACAGTGCGTTTAAATTAAATAAATCAAAAATAAGTTAGGAGACGGTTATTAGATTATTATTTTTTCTCTTGTAAGAGATAGAAAAAACTCAGTAGTAATTAGTTTAGAAATGTTACATGTTACATTTATGATGTTGAGCACCTTATGCTAAATGTAATATTAGATTAATGTGAAGGTATAGATTAAAAGTAAAGCGACGCAGAGTTGCGGCCACTGGTCGTCTAGTTGCAATCACAATTATTTGGTTATAAATAATTAGGACATTTTGTTTGTGTAATGGATATTTTTACATGTTTAATATTCAGTATGTATCCGGAGCTATGCACGGTGCACGTGACTAGTCAAATAACGAGCTCTCATTGGACAGCTACCAGAGGTTCTGTAAATTATCAGTTATGTATGATGAAAATATAGTCTATTCAATTATATATAAATGTTACACGATTAATTTTAATTTAGCGGGGCATTGTTATATAAACGACAGTATTGAACCTTATATTAACGAGCACACGCACCATGTTATTGTGAAGAGCGGCGACCGTTTATTGTGTCGCAACTAATTATATGTTGTTACGCGAAGATGTGATGTATGTATGTGATGTTGCGTGTGTGTGTGTGTGTGTATGTGTGTGTGTGTTGCGCGGTGCGTGGTGGTGGTGGTGGGTGGTTGGTTGGGGCGTGTGACGTCACGTTACATGTGTATAGTGGCGGCGGTGTATCGCGCCTCGCCGCGCCGCCAGTTCCACTGCGACGGCCGGTACTGTGTACAAATAATACATTAATTACATACTCGTACAACATAAATAAATCGTAACATACTTGTATTTTAATAGAACCAAAAAACTGGTCATGATCAGATGTCAGCATAGACGGCGCGAACACAATAATGGTACACGTGTAGGCGTACATACCTTGATGAACAGTTGCCCGCTGCGCGTGTGCGGGTTCCTGAACGCGTACAGCGCCCACGCGGCCACGGCGGCCACCAGCGCGACGCACGCGCACGCGGCCACCGCCCCGCCCACCGCGCCCCCGCCACCGCCCCCGCCCGCACCCGCACCCGCGCCCACCTGCTCGCGCTTCATGCTGGTGGCGCCACCGCCCGCATGCGGGGACGACTCGGTATCGGCCGTGTTCACTACACGCGCGCACGGGCATACATATATTATTATAACGGTTAATTTTTGAAACGACAAACTTGCGCTACTAGTTTGCTGCTGTTTGTACTCGACGAACCATTCATTGATTTTATTATATCTTAAATACATTAGCATCACACTGATTTTACACAAGATTTTATTACACCAATATATAACATTTCTCGCAGTGTATGTTGTGTACACATGACACAACACACACGCTTTCAAGGTGTCACCATTTGTAAGGATCTAAGTATTATGGTACCGTCACTGTCTCAAATGCTCCATAATACGGAGGCTTTAATTACTCATTTTGAAATATGAACAATGTATGTAATGTTATTGTATAATATTTAGTATATCTGTATATAATCTTACGTGTTCTGACATCGGCGTCCTGGTTGGCGTGTCCGTCTGTCACGTACGCGTCGCCGGTGATGCGCGACACGTTCAGTGCGGGACCCGTCGCGTTGCGCGCGGGACACCAGGTGGCGTTCAACACCAACGTGTTGTCGCAATCTATATATACATATACAACAAACATATATATCTAGTCACAACATTGACCGAACGACCGAAACACTCCTCCGTGCTTCAGAAGGCATGTACGACCATCGAGGCCGACTGCTACTGAAATCTACCATCCACAGGTCATAGCGAGGATACACTATATACTAATATAATGGAGATAAAACTCATTATCACACCAAAGACAGTTGAACGCTATCCCCCCCCTCACACATATCATTAACGGTGCCAATACTCACTCCTCAACTGCCAGTCCTGCTTGTTCCTGTCGGTGCCGCTCGAACATTTCTTGATATTTTCACACCAAGTGCACTGCACGACAACGATACGCAATATTAGTTTTATACATACACACACACAAACAAACAGATACAACAACAACCCCATAAAGATTTTTGACAACTTTTATTTTAACTTTTGCATGTTAATATTAATATTTTAAATGTTCCTAAAATGGAAATGTCTGAAGCGGCAACGTGTCTCCAAAAAAAAAAGACAAGAAACACGTCCTGGATATAAAGTAACTAAAACAATATGAATACACTACATATGTTACGATAGTATGTATTCAACCTGGAAACTGGTGTTGTGGTTGAGGCAGGTGTCGCAGGTGGTGTACTGCACGCAGGTGGGCAGCGCGGTCATCATCAGCACGGTGCCGTTCGTGATCTCGTACTTCTTGAACGAGACGCGGTGATACTCGTACACCGTCTTGCGTCTCACGTCTGCGCGCGCATACAAACAACATATACAAACAAACAGACAAACATACACCCGCACGCCGGCACTCAACTGTTGAATTTGTCAAATACTTGTCATATTTTAATCAGTGCTGCATACTTTAAATGAAAAATCGACTGTACTACACATCGAGCCATTATATTATTACTACAACATTCACCATCGACTGACACGGATGCATGTTCTGATTGTTGTATTTTATAACCTCGGCATTTATAACGCTCGGTATAATCTTTTTAACCGAGTGGATCACTCAGTACCGGTTTCGATGCCCGGTCGGGTGATGTAAAAAGGGGCTTTTCTATTTTTTTACCAAGAATCTTCAGTGTTTTTTCAGATAATATCTAATGTGAACTGAGAGCTTAAATCTGAACTTTTACAATATTTGATAATATAAAAATAAATACCTATTATACATTAAACATTAAGTACAATATAATGTGACAGTGTTAGGTTAGCTCACAGAATATGATCTTGTCGGTGAGGTAGGCGTCGCTGATGCCTATCTTGACCGGATGCGACTTGTCGTCGATCTTCTGTACCGGTATCGGTACGTTCTTGTACGCGAACACGATGTCCCCGTTCTTGTACAGCGTGGCGGCGAACGTGAACAGCTTGTCGGGCACCTCCAGCAGCGCGACGTTCTCCCAGAACGCGGTGAATTTACTGCCTGCCGCCAGCCAAACAGACGAGACGCGTTACACACAGGAGAGAGCATTTCATTGTACGTTTTTTTGCATCGAATAGGCTTTTAAAAATTCTTTCACAGCTACATGACATAGGCTACATATAACAGATATTATTCGTGTCAGTGAAGTGGCATTTACAACTCTAAAGTCAAACTCGAAATAAAAAATCTTTATTACCATATCGAGAAGGTTTTATTTAATTGAACGTGACATTGTCACGTACGTCGTCGTGTCGAGCTTGTTTTTATAAATGCCTTCACAAATACAATGGCATACGGGAGATGGGAAACGAAAATTTCTTATTTCGAGTTCCTCCGTACTTCGGAAAACAATTCGTCGCGTTGTTGCAACCAGTGTTGCTCGGACATGAGTAACGCCAGTGTTCCATGAATAAAATATAAAATTAATTATCCAAGAAAACTACATTTTATGTTTATTATTAAACTGGTCCCATATACGTCAACACTCACTCATACATGCTACAATGACCCGGCACTACATGTCACTTTTACTCGTGTCCGAACATATCGCTGTTGCGCTCGCGCACATGCATCTATATATACTCCATTCATTATAACATTAGAAAAAAGAAGGTCATAGAAGCAGCAGTGCAAAACATTTTGTTTTCAAGATAAATTTAAAAAATATATATTATAGATTTGTTGAAACTGTGAACGTTTTTGTAGTCTGAAAGAGCTGGGCAATTTTCCATTTTTTATGATACCTCGGGGCTGAGATGAGGCCAGCATTTTAAGTAAATAAGTGTATATAATTAGAATAAAATTTAGTTATATCTTTGCTTAGGAAATAAAGGTAAACAAAAGGATTTTTTTTATTATTACCTTTATAAAATTTACTCAGATATTAGACTATTTATGAAGAAATTGGAAAAACTTCCTGAAATGTCAAAGGTTGAGGGTAGGTATGGGGGCTTTAAGCGTAATTTTTGTAGTCCACTCGGGCCTGCACCGGCATCGTCCATATTTAACAAAACTTAACTTGACAACAAAAACAAAACTATAACAAAACAGAAATAAAACAATAACAACTTAATAGCGGAAAACGGAAAAACTACAAGAAAGAAAAAATCCCAAATTACGTATTTTGACAATTATGAATACATCATAGTCTGACAAAAATAAAAAGTTGTAGTGCCGAAACGTTTGAAGGGATTAGGCAACGTTTTAAATTTGGTAGAATTATAGTGACATGAGAATCGTGCCGGAACTATCCAACCCTGCTTCTTTAGGTTCTTTATGATGAACACTTTTTATTGTAAATGTTATTAAATCATTTAAGTTAGTCAAATACTCATAAATTTGCTTAATAGATAGCTTAAGTGACAACAGTTAAATATAGCAGCAGGTATTTAAGTGGATGTGTATCAAATTAGCCGTCACTCTTAAGAGTAACATGATTATTGATATTTTGTCACAAAGTATATACCATAAAAAGAACCTTATTTAACTTCTGTCTAATGCTATAATGAATGGAGTATAGTCAATTGTGTCACAGTAAAGTGAAGCTCCAACGCCAATGTGTCCTGTGGGCGGTACGCCCGTGTTAGTGTTACAGTGTACAGTAATCACCGTCGTCCGAGAGCATGATCCTGCTGCTGTTGTTGAGGGACGTGTCGAAGTTGCCCATCAGCGGCGCGATGTACTGCGTCGCGGCGATCCACGAGTGCGTGTGCTCGCCGGTGTATATGAACCCGCCGGTCGCCACCGTTATAGTCTGGATGTAGCTCCCGTAGAATGGAAACAGGAAACTCAGCTTCACTGTCTGCACCGACAATTGTTAAATTATTCTTTTGCTCACGATGTAGTCATAGTTGTACTAGACTCCGCTCTCTTGAGCTCGGCCCTTGAACTATTCCAACGGTATTATCAAAGTAGGTCTTCCTATTAGCCACTTCGTTATGTCTAGTGGAATAATGTTTGAATTTACTGTACTATAAAATGTATAACAAAGGTTATCAGTCTATTTTGACGACGGACGTTTAATTCATAATTACTACTCTTATTGAAATTGTATTTCGGTAAATAATATGATAAATTTTATTAAGAAAATAATTGAAAACAAGGTTGAATGCACTTTATCTAAAAAACGTTCTCTACGATATCAATGACATCGCTGATCTTGAACCTGTGACTCCAGTTTAGTCAAGTCTGGTTTTAGATAGTACTTTAAGACATATATATCCTGTTAATATTATAAATGTGAAAGTTACTTTGTTTGGATGTTTGTCCGTCAATCACGCCGAAACTACGGAACGGTTTTTAATGAAATTTGGTATACAGATAGGGTATTAGCTGACTTTGATAATAGGATACTTTTATCCCACTAAACATTTCCCTAGGGTCCATGCGGGCGCAGCCGCTGGCGAAAGCTAGTACACATATAATGGGAGAAAAAATTAATCAGTGTTCGTAAATATGTTTTATTGACGATACTCAATCATAAAAAGTTTGTGCACCGATGACAATTTTTCCTATATACAAGCGAGTTCGGTAATTGACTTGTTTCTGTTCTTGTTTAATATGAATTAAACCGAATGTGGGCAAAATGTCGAACTATCATTATTTTCACAGATGTAAATAGTGATGTGAAAGGGATTACGACTAATTAATTTTTGTAAGTTTGTCCGTCAGGTAGATTGTTGAAAAATATTAAACACGTATGTTTTTCTTTTCGTAATCATTAAATTATGGCGACACATTGAGTTAAAATGTCGCGTGACGTCACGCTTTGGTACATTATTTGCAAAACTGTGACGTAACATCTCCTAACTCCTCAACATTAATGCCTGTTATCTAAGCTATTTCTTGTTAAATCGAGTGAGTTTAGTCAGGACTTCAAAGGAAATGTATGAAATTATTCCAGGTTATTTAAAAAAGTGTCTCGTTAAGCCAAATGTAATTATATAAATGCAAAAATTAAAAATAGTAAAATAAGATAAAGTTAAAATGACGTGGAATATCATAAACAGTGAAACTGGAAGAGAAAAATCCCGGAATACAAATTTTATTTTAAACATTGATAATAAAAAAGTAACATCAGATCTTAAAGTTGCTACAGTATCTGAAAATTTATTTACTGAAATTTCAGTCTTAATTACACAATCTTTGAATTTCTATTCCACTGTTGCTGAATTTATTTTAAATGTAAATTTAAAAATTGTAATAGTCAATTTAAGTTTCAATACATTTATTTTAAAGATATAATAAAATCTTTTAATTATCTAAAGAAAAGAAAACCGCTGATTTATGGGGTGATTCCATTGATGTTTCAAAATCTGTAATTGAGACAATGGCTCCAATCCTAGGTTATATATTTAATGAATGTACTGATTCTGGTATTTTTCCTGAGCTCATGAAATATAGTAAAATTATTTCTTTACATAAATCGGGTAGCAAATCTGATCCTACTAACTTTAGACCTATATCCGTGCAGTAAGATTTTTGAAAAAAATGTACTGGATCAAATACAAACATACTTTTACAAGAATAACCTTATGAATCGACAACAATTTGGTTTTACAAGGGGTCGCTCAACAACCGAAGCCGCTGTCGAGTTAATACAAGAAATTTTTAATGCCTAGGAGGATTCACATGACTCGTTAGGTGTTTTTTGTGACCTATCTAAGGCATTTGATTGTGTTTTTCATGAAACATAGATTAGGAAACTTCATTATTATGGATATAGAGATAACTCATTGGATTTTACTGTCTCATACTTGACTGACAGAGTGCCCAGGGTAGACATCAATGGCAATAGATCCCCTGGATCGAAAGTTAAGACGGGTGTTCCACAGGACTCAACACTTGGTCCTTTCTTGTTTTTAATCTATATATTAATACATGAAGAGTTTGTTTCTTTTGAATATTGCCTTCGCACGGTTTGTGCATTTAGCAAGTGTCAAGTTTTATATGTTTACCGTAGACATCTATTTATATGTTTGTGATGTTTACTGTGGTCTTACTGAATGTCAAAAGATTTTCGATTTCAGTAATAACTTCTAATTTAAATTTATTATGGTCGAATTTCGACCACTGGGCGACCACTAGTTTATACTCGTAAATGATTTGCCTTATTTCGTAAGGGATAATTACGAAATAGATTTGTTTGCGGATGACACTTCACTTTGTTTAAAATTAAAAGAAGGCTACTTCTAAATAACTATCGCAAAAGTAGTACATTAATTTAATGTAATTAATCTTCTCCTTAATGAAGAAACAACAAAATGCCTGATATTTGTACTACTTAATGGTAAAAAAGTAGATATAAATGTGAATATGAAAGATCAGAACATGGGCCTTGTGGATACCACAGTATTTTAAGGAATAACATTAGATTTTACACTACAGTGGGCATATGTTAATAAATTGTCGAATAGACTCAGCTCTGCAGCATATGCCGTAATGAAGATACGTAGGTTAACTGACACAGATACTGCCTGATCAGTATACTTCAGTTACTTTCATAGCTTAATGTCATACGGAATCCTATTGTGGGGAAATGCTGATGACATACAAACGATTTTTGTGCTTCTGAAAAGAGCAATTAGATCAATTTATAATCTTAGTATTAGGGACTCTTAAAGCAAGAAATTTAAGGAAATAGACATAATTATTCTTTATACAAAATACTTAAAAAATCCACTTGGTCTCTGGCACCCTGAGACGGGAATCGAACCCCCGACCTTTCGCAATCCGGGCGACTGCTCCGACCGCTGAGCCACCCAGGATTCAAAAAAACTGACGAATCTCTCAAGCGCCCGTTACTTTTCGCTACTACAGGCATCCACCCAAACAGCCGCAAGAAATATAGTTACAAATATTGAAACTTTCGATAAAGATGGTTCTTGAAAGAACGTCAGTCCTGTTGGGTCTTGGGTGGCTCAGCGGTTGGAGCAGTCGCCCGCTTTGCGAAAGGTCGTGGGTTCGATTCCCGTCTCAGGGTGCCAGGGACCAAGTGGATTTTTTAAACATTTTGTATTAAGAATATTTTTCAGTATGGCAATGTGAATGCAAAATTAATCAAAAATATAATAAATTGACATAATGACTGTTGCTTCTCAATACATATACGAGAACTTAATGTACGTTCGTAAAAATATTAGTTTGTTTTCTATAAAAAGTGATGTACACAATTTTAATACGAGAAATAAAAATAAATTAACGGTGCCTGTCACTATACTGCAAAAAGGTAAAATCTCATTCAGGGGTCTATGTGTGCGCTTCTACAATAAGGTCCCAAGTAAAATACAACAATTAGATATCATGCAGTTTAAATCTACTATTAAAAATACTTATTATAAGGTATATTATAATATAATAGGTAGGTTATTATAAAGCTTATTATAAGGTATCCGATTATATAACAGATAAGAATGCTTGAATTTAAGATGTTATAAAAACTGGATAGGTGATTTCTTCTAAACTCATCATATCTCAAAAATGATCTTGGTGAAATTATCATTATAAGACCATAGTTTTTTTTCCTCTCTATTTATAATGTATTGACATGTTTTTTGTGAATGTCATTACCCCTATTAAAGCTGGTGAGTTTCTTGTTCGTTCTTCTTATCAGCTAAGACGCCCTGAACGTAGAAGTGGTAGAAAAAAAAAGTTGGACGATTCAAAAGTATTTTTAAGAAGTCTATTTGAATAAAGATTATTTTGATTTTGATTGAAGTAAAAAAAAAAACACATGTCTAATATTTTTCTTTTATGTGACTGACGGACTTAATAGATTTTTTTTACCCAGTCGTCATCCGTATTAAAACCAGGAATGTAACTATAATGAAGTAATAAATTTTGGATGACATAATTTGTATGGTAAATTAAAATTAGTCTTGATAACACTTCTTAATACACCTTAATTGAGTTGTGTGACACTGTTATCATTGCAATGTAATATAGCCAGGGAGATGTCGGTCTGTACTATTATGTAGGCAGAGTGGAGACTGACCGTGGCCTTCCTGTACGAGTTGCTGAGCATGTCGTGCGGCTGCGCCGGGTGCTTGCTGATGTTCGCCCAGTGCTCCAGGAAGAACTGATGGTTACCGACGAATGTACTGTTGTAGAAGCTGTGGTTGTCCTGATAACAAACACATTGTTTTTACTCACAAACATACAAAATGAGTCATGATTATAACAAAACATAAGTTATGGGAAATCTTTAAAAGGTGTAACTATTTATACGCCTTTATAAGACTATATTATCCGTGGATAAAAAATGCCAGTGACGTCATCACTCGGTTTATTTTTGCGATGATAATTAGGTATTTAGATATTAGATAATTAGTTGCGATGATAATAGGTATTTTACTCTGACTGAGACATTGCAAGATTTTATCTTCATTTAAAAAATATGCCACAAAAACTAACACGTTTTCTCCCTATAAATGAAATTGAGATTTGATCTTTCTTAATACCCGCAAAAACGGTGACCACTATATTAATGATGTCATTCGGGTATGTAGACAAAACAATGCATTTATATTCTTAATTGTGCCAACGTAAGGCCATTTTATTGAGTTTTCTGTGAGTAACGGTTATTACAAGTTATTATCTATACAGCTGACTGACAGACAATACAGTAAATTCCGATTTTTGTGTGTAAATGCAACATGGAATGAAAATGTGCCTGCAGTCCAATGGCAGGGTTATACGTAATTAAATAGATAAGTAACAGGAACATTTTAATTAAAAATTATAATTAATTATTATAATTACCATGCCCACACAGTTCCTAGTAATTAGTATAACTGTATCCATATATAAACAATGTTTTTATTCATAAAAGTAAAATATTACCTTTCGTTTCTTTTTGTAGAAAAGAAAATGCATTTGCGTTCTGATTGGCGAGTATAAGGATACAACGTACAACAGATATAAAGAACTATTTGTGCACCAGCCGCTGCTGTGACGTCAGCCGGGCTGCACTCCCCCAGTGGCGACCTACATCTGGCTATGAGACGCACTTACTTATACTATTTTCTTTTTGTGTTTAAATGATAAAAACCGTACTTGTTTTGCAAATTTTTACTTCATTTATTAAATAGTTTATTTTTTAACTATAGCCTTACATTTCTCCTATTTGATATGGTTCGACTTTTTGAATTCGGTTCGATGTAAAGTTGGCTGTGGCGTATACGTATAAAATCTAACACAATCAAATTACAGATGAGAGGATATATTTGTTATTAGCATCATGAAGATCGTGATGTTCATAATTAATTCCCAACAGTTTTTGCTAATTGGCCTGCAACATATTAATTAACTCACGTATATCAAGTTGCTCAAATTCCTTTCAGCCTTGATCATCTCAGGGGTCTCGTACACGCCCGTGAAATCTGGAACAAAGATTAAAAAAAAAATATTTTATACACAACCTCGACCGCAGGAGCCACTGTGCCGTACACTAATTTGCATTATATACAACAAAAGTGTACAACAAAGTGTACCTACAAATGAGCAGTGATTGATTATATCATTTGGACACGGCACAAATTAATTTTGAGTGATTTGAGTGAAAGTTAATTTCGCTTTCCGCTAAAGTGACAAACAAAGTTTCACTTTTTTCCTGTTGTACCGTGACTAGTGGTGATCGCTATCCGGCCGCGCGGTATACCATTATTACAGTCAGTTCGTCATGAACTGGTCCCTCTGGTTGTGGTTTAATTTGCAACCAAAATCTTTATCATGAACTTAATTATCATTGGGTTAAAGTTTAAAATATATTGCACAAATTAGGCCTTTTGAAGTGCTATCGACTATACATTTATTTATGAATGTTTATAAACTGAAACTCAAACATATATTAAAATATATTTTTCCAACAATTATTATAACGTAACACCGTTGTTCCCAACCTTTTCAATTAATCTATCCTTTATTACATATTAGATAATTTATAATAAAAAAGAAAAATACAACAGCCGGAAATCGAACTAACAGTAAAAGAAACAAGTTGTATTATGACTCGGCTAAACGAAGTTGTCATTGCAGTTGAGGACCGTTCTGTGGAACATTTGTAATATAATGTTATTATTTTATCGAAAGTTTCTTTGACAAAAATGATATGATGAATGTTTAGCTCTAGTGTAACAGTTAGTACTCTCGGCAGCAAGTTATGCGTCGAACAAATAAAGTGTGACGTAGTAGACGCACGCACCTGATCAATTAAAGGCTCCATTGTTGATGTCACCTTGTTGTTGTTTATTTATAAGACTCTATAAAAACGGTGTAAAATATATGCTACTTTTAAACGTTTCTATAATTTAATTTTTCAATTTACTGTGAAGTGAGTAATATTAGATAGTAAGGGACGCTAAGTTCTCGTAGTAGTGGTAAGCATTTACATTTTACCTATGTAATAATTCTATAAAATTAGTAATTAAATAAGTATCGTCCGAAAAGGTTGTCTCATTTATTTGTTTACTGAACGATCCCGACCACCCACCTCAATTGGATTGGTGAAACGCATTTTAACGCAACAAGCTAGAAACATAGAAAAATCTGTTGTATAAAAAAGTACTTATTTAGACTAATGCAGTTATAACTGGCCATGTACAGGACAAATGTGTCATTCGTTTGTAAGACACGGTGTTGGTCGGTTGTAGGGGGATATAATCCCGGGCCTTTTTTACAATCTCGGGGTTCCGGTACTGGGCAAAGACAAGCCCGGGATCCCGGGATTTGCAAAAATCAAATTTTTATTATTTAATCCTTCTTATTATATCCTAAGGATTTTTATTGGCATTGATTACTCGATAAATCGGCAGGTAAAATTAAGTGCGTCTCGTTTCATGCAATATTTTTTTGAAAAAATAAACTTTATTTTTTTTATCCCGAAAATCCAGGGGTTTAAGGAATTTAATCCCGAAGATTTCGGGACTGTAAAATAGCCGGGATCCCGAGTTTATATCCCCTAGTCGGTTGTGTACTTATGAAGAAGATACAAGTTGAGTTTGTTATTGTGTGCTTTTATCAAAAATTGGCAACACAAGTAACAATAACCACTTCCTTTTCGATTTCGGTTAAAAATAAAACATGAGTCGCGTGCACTCACCGTCGTCGGCCGATATGGGGTCGCTGACCTTGGGGGTGGTATCGGTAAGGTTACTCCACCGCTGGCCCGTTCCGTTAGCGCCCAGGACTGGCACCTGCGTAACCACTGCCATGGGTGTACTCGACGGCTCTGCGGACCACATATAGTCACTGTGATATCATGCATTATAATCGTCATCTATGTCGCAGCCAAGTGGTATAACCAGCCGACCAATCAGGCGGCTAGCCCTTTATTTGAATGGCGCTTTTCAATTAACGGGATAACTTTTAATCATCCTAGTAGCTGAACGCAACGTTCTACAATACAACCAATAACCAATGATTTAAATAAAATAAAACTCAAAAGCTCCCGTGTTACGATGTGTAATCAAAATCAAAATCAAAATCAAAATCAAAATTTATTTATTCAATTTAGGCTTTTACAGAGCACTTGTGAAAGTCGAAAACTACGCCATCGGTTCGCAAAACTACGGCGGGAGACCTTGTACTGAGAAGAACCGGCAAGAAACTCAGCAAGGGCTATTTTTTTCTCCCTGTTTTATTTCACACAGAGAAGTCTTATTGAAAAGTGACTTCATTAGAATATGAAGTCACTTTCCATTACAATATTAGAAAGTAAATACAACAAAGTTAAAATATCTAACACCATGTCTTTTTGTCATTTAGATATTCCTTAACGGTATAATACCCTTTACTTTGTAATCGATCAAAAGGCTAACAAAAAACTGCTTATTCGCGACTGGGTGTGGTCCAATTCAGGAAGCTAACGTACACTACACGCCAATAACTAAATTAAATTACTAGCCGCCCAATTGAACGGCTTATCTAACCAGTGACTGCGACATATACATTGTTGCATCCCGCTGTCTGCGCGCGAGATCTACTATTTACTACACAACTGACTTTAATGCGGTTCTCAACAACAGATGGAGTGATTCAAGATGAAGGTTGAATGCTGCTGGAAATCTAGTCTAGTCTAAAAGGACGGAGTTTAGCCAATAGATAAAAACCTAACAGATTACAAAAATAAATGCTCGCGTATTCTAAGAGTACCCTAAGAAATGTTTATTGTACCGCATTTTAAATAAAATCATGTTACAGTGATGGGAAGCGGGTAATCCCAGTTCAGGTAATGCTCTTGTAAGTTTAGTTTGTAAAAGGGTAAGTATATATTAGTTGTTAACACATTAAGCACTTAATAATTTCTTATGTAACAGAGTAACTGTGTAAAGTAAATAATAATATATAAAAATAAATGGGAAAGTGCCACCATTTTATGTGAAGAGTGAAAAGGACTCCGTTGTGCTATATGAATCAGTCCTTAATTTGTCCAACAACGGACAGCTGCATATATGATTTAATTAGTGTGACACTTTGATTCACATACGTGAACTAATAAATAATGATATCATAGGAAAATACGCAATTCGGTATATAAACACTCGCTTCAAGTCAATTATATTCGCTATAGCATAGGTATAAGTATACCTATCGTAATGTATTCATTCGCTCTGTACGCAAATAACACTAACCTTCGCCCCCGACGTCGCATCACATTTATGATTATTCATTTATTTACAATATACGACATACTGAAATAATAAATAAATCGCTTAAGCAATAATACATATCGATATACACGACGGCGCGGCGGTTATCACGTTCGGTTTGCGATTGTGGCGGTTGAGCAACATTCGCAGCGGCCGCCAGGCAGACCCGTCGGGTGAGGGTGGCCAATAACGTAGCATCTCTTAATTCGTCCGTGTATTGGATTCGGCCACCAGTTTGTCTCAGTTGTATCTGCACTCGTTAACGTCAACTAATCCGGACTGGGCTCGACTAATTAAAATATATCATTATTTTAACGTGGCCTTTACATAAGCAGTCCCATTAGGTAATTAGAAGTATTATAGCTTTGAGTTGGTATAAGGTCATCATCACAATTTTATTTTTGTAATATTACGTTTATTTAAATGATGTCGTTGTTTAAACACAAAACTAATAAATAGAAACATGTACACAAGAGTAACTTATTCCACAACACAACCGCCAGCAGCGGTACGTAATGCAACCTTAATATAAAGGACAACTAACACAACTAACATATATACCAATAAACGCAGGCACATTCCAAGCTACAACAGGTATATGATCAGATTCTAACCATATTCAATTAGGTAATAATAAATAAGGGTTAGTCTCATGCGAACCAAACTAGTTTAATAATAAAAAGAGGTGAAAATCTACATTTGTGCCATTCTTCGAGTTCGAGTCATAAAGGGCCAGCAGGTATACTTATAGGTTATGTTAATAATAAAAAATATACTTATAAAATATAATTGATCGGATACAGTATGTTAAATAGTTTAAAATTTCTAATATATATTTCTGTTCCAGGAAACCCAGACAAAAATACTGAACGCAATTATACCTAGTATAACTTTTTTGCAGAGTAACATACACAAACAAATACATATAACATCAACTGCGAATTGGTATTTAAGTTTACTAAAATATTAGTGTTTAGATTAGTAATGAGAAGTTAGCAATTATATAACTTATATTAGAATTAGTGAATTTATTCCTGATCATGTCATTACATAAGACTCGCGATGTAATAGGATCGCTACTATACATCGGGCAGCTCTCACAGGAAAATAGGCAGCGAATTAATCGACTTACATTACGTTGATTTCAAAACATTTTACGGCAGAAGAATTGCGTTGTGAGACTTGTGTATTTTTGTACATGTTATGTTTTTTTTTTATGGGATTAGTCATACACGGTGCACGGTGCACATACGGGACCCGCCAACAGAATCGTTTATTGACATTTTCATGGAGCATATTCACCAATCTCACATAGTGATTTATCAGGCAGGTTACGGTGTGTATTTTATCATCGTTTTATGTTAATTAGCTTATATATGAACACGACTATTGATATTGTGAAAAAAAGTACTCGTATACTGACTATCGTGATGCTGACCCATATGTCTAGCTGACTAAGGAAAGCCCGGGACGGTTTGAAATAATCGGGACTTTCCGACCATCACTCGTTATGGATTACATACGTTGCATGAGTCATAATCGTACGAGGTACCTATTATACATATTGTAGGTACTGTCTGTGTGCAATACGGAGTGCGAAAGTAATACATATCTACTGTCAAGTGTAATACGAGTAATATCGATCAGGTAAACATTAGTTACAATTAAACTGACCACCGGGACATTCTCGGAAATTACGTCATTATGTGTTTACAAAACAGCTGAAACACGGATATCCATCGGTGACGAGGTTGCAATACGACGATCGCGGGAACGTACAACGGCGACAAATCACACCGTTTACATTATACATATTTAGTGGGAGAAGCGCGATGGCTCAATGGTTAGCGCGTTCAAATCAAATCAAAGGTCAGCGGACATAATCAGCCAAAGCCCCCGCTGAGGATATTAGTTCTGCCATTGAAAGTCTTAACAAAGCTCAGATTTCTGAATGGAGCCGCAAACATGGGCTTTGGGTGAATCCCACCAAAACTCAAGTTGTCGCAGTGGGCAGCTCAAGGCTTAGAGCTAAAGTAAAGTTTGAGTAGACCTCGCAAATAGTATTTGATGGAATCTCCTTACAATTGACAAATGAGTGATCATGTTAGAAATATAGGTGTATATATTGATAAAAACTTAATTTGGGATGTACAACTCAAAGAAGTGGGTCGCAAACTTTTTGCATCTGCTGAGTCTTTAAGAAGGCTTCGCAATTTCTTGCCTACGACTTACGGAAGCGAGATATGGTCGTTCAGTATGGTTTACTAAAAAAACTCAACATCACCCAGCGGGCAATGCAGAAAGTAATGCTTGGTGTTTTTCTACGAGATCGTATTAAAAACGAAGAAATCCTTAGGAAAACCAACGTAACTGCTCGAATAATTGTTCAGCTGAGGTGGTAGTGGGCGGGACACATAGCTGGAAGAACTGATGGCCGTTGCGATGGAAAGGTTCTAAAATGACGGCCATGTATCAATAACGTAATACTGTGAGTCATTGGCCGTTTTTTGCTTACCCTAATATATTTACTAGGGCACGCAAAAAACATTTAGTTATTGTAACAATTTATTTTGTAGTTTAAATTGATAAATATGCGCTTCATCCTAATTCTTTACGGGGTTGCTAATTCTTGAATTAAAATCTCCCACAAGAGCGTAAATAAATTTCAAATGAAGTTTAATCACGATTGAAAAAATACATACTAATATCGTACAATCTCTTCTAATGCCCATTCTCGATTACGCCGACGTCAGCTATTAGACCTTACAGAAATGCAACTGAACAAGCTTGAGTGCCTTCAAAATTTTTGCATAAGATTTGTATATGGACTACGCAAATATGATCACGTTTCCGTATTTCGCGAGAAACTCAAGTGGCTGCCGATTCGATTTCGCCGGAATGCACATATTTTAAATATGTTATTTAATATATTTTTTAATCCCACTAACCCTTCCTATCTCAAAGATCGTTTCAAATTCGTCAAAGAATCCCAACCCCGCTTCTTGAGATCATCAGAAAACCTGCGGCTGGAACTGCCAATGCATTCCACTAGGTACTGTAACATCCGAGCACATTACCATAGGTAGGGTTTACTCTTCGGACGGTTTATGGTCAAGTGCTGGCCGTTAATATTTTAAATTATTACTTTTTCTTATTCGAATTCGCGTGTTCGTGTTTTGCTGGTGAATAGTCTTTCTTTCTGATCGAGACCAGCTTAGGGTGAGCATCGTAGTATAATTATTGTAAGTGATTAAATGTAATTCTTATCAGAAATAAATCAAGACTAAGGAGTGATACCAGTTTTTCCTTGCGCCACCCACCTCCACCATTAGACTAAGTTGCCATAAGTCGCCATAGTACTATGATAAATCTTTTACCGTCCACGCTGTACACCTATGGAATGCGCTACCTTCAAAAACTAATTCTCTTTATATATTTAAGAAACTTGTCAGAGACAACAAACCTGTCCATAAAAGTATGTATATAGATCATAGGTATTATGTATTTATATATGTATTGTATTTTATATGATAATAGATATTATATTATAGTATATGTAAGTCTATTATAAAATTGAATT